GAGGGGGCCGCAGCAGGGGCGGGGTGGGCTGAGGCCCGGGGAGGGGAAGCGTGGGGCGGGAGGAAGAAAGAAAGCGCGGTGGCTGGCCGAGGGGCACCCTGCGTGCGGACCGAAGTGGGGCGGGGACCCCGGAGCTGAGAAGGGGCTCCCCAGGGAAGAGGGGAGCGGGCCGAAGGGAGGCCGGAGAGGAGACGGGAGGAGGTGAATGAGGGGAAAAGAATGGACAGAAAGAGAGAGGGGATAGAGGGACAGACGGACAGTAAAGGAGGTTTAGAGGGAACAGACAAAAGGACACAGGGCGAAGCCCAGAGAAAGACGCAGAAGGGTCGAAGAGGGAACCTAACGTCCCAGGGGAAAGGAGGGAAGCCAAGGGAGGGAGAAGGAGGCAAAGGGACAGATCAAAGGAGCTGACTGTGGAATGGACTACCCGACGGAAAAGGAGGAGAGGTGGAGACAGATGGACACCAGAGAAAGCGACAGGAGGACGGGAAGGGAGGCACACTGGGAAGGACAGGGAAAGAGCAAGGATGGAGATGCCTGGAAAGAGACAGACATATGGACAGTCAGGAAGGAGAGAAGAGAGGAATGAGAATGCACCCCGAGCAGACCACAGGCACAGGAAGGTGAATGGGACCCAGAGGGAGACTGACATGGACCTCAGTGATGAGGACATCGGTAAAGAGAGGCCAGAGACACAGGAGGGAGTGGCCATGGTCAGGGCCGTCAGGCAGGCAGCACAGGCGAGGTGGGGTGCCAAGTGGACTTCCTAAGGGACTCTGCCTCCCTCCCTGTCTTCTGGTCCTCTCTAGTTGCCTGAAAAGGGCTCTCAGGCAAGGCTGGAGTCACATTCTCTCCTTGTGTCTTCGGAGGGGCTTTCTCCCTGGGGAAGGGTCTTGCCTGCCCTGTTTCCTGTGCCTCCTGTGCCATGGAGCTGGGTTCCATGAGAAATGTCTTTGGTGTGGGGTCTCTTCCTGGGAGTGACACCCTGCATGAGGGTGCCAGACATTTACATTCCGCAGCTGGAGGGAGCTTTTCCCACGGACCCATCTTCCAGAAGCTGGGCTTTGTTGCCCATGCCCCTACATGTATGTGGGGGTCTCTCTCCGGTTTTGGGGTCCATTGCCTCTGTGTGACCATTCCCTTGTACCCATCTTTCCCTTCTGGTGTCTCTCTGTCTTCCTCTGTGTCCTGTCTCTGGCCCTCTTCTCCCCTCCATGGAAGCCCAGTGACTGAAATCCCAGCAGTTGGTCCCCAGCATAAGAGAACCATAGTCAAAGTGAGCAGCCTGTGCTGGAGGGCAAGTGGCCCTGCACAAGGTTCTGCCACCCAGGTCAGGCAAAGTACGTAGCTTTGTGCGCAGAAAGCCCTGGCCCGGGCTCTCCTGCTCTCTCCTCATCTCCCACCTGAGGTCCTGTTTGTTATGTGCTCTGTTGGCAGACAGCCCCACCCACCCCTTGCCAACATGCATCTGTTCCCATCCTGATGAGGCTGCATGCCCAGGTGGAAGATGGGGGTTAGAGGTGGGCACCAGGCCCAAGAGCGCCGGGCAGTTTCCTGTCCCTCATTCCCATACGGTCACCCTTGGGAAGCAGGAAGAGCCATACCTGTGGCCTGATGCCCCTGTTTGACTGCTCCCAGAAGTGGCCCTGGACATTGGCCCTGGCCTGTGACTTCCCTAGGGCAGCTGTGAAGAGTGGGTTGCCACCTCAGCAGATCCTGCCACCCTCAGAAGCAATGCCTCTGTGTGTGTGTGTGTGTGCGCGCGCGTGCGTGCGCGTGCGTGCGCGTGCGCACGTGCACGCGCATGCGGTCATTCTGTTGTGTTTTGGTTTGATGCCTCTCTTGTCCCAGGGGTGTGCTAGAACCTTGGGGGCTGGGGTTGAAGAAAAGGAGTCCTGTAGGGGGAAGGGGAGTAGCTCAGGGACCCCCGACATGCAGATTTAGAATCCAGATGCCAGCCAGGGAAGTAATTCAAAGTGGGCATTTTGGGGGACCAGAAAACTAGGGTGAGTCCAGACGCATGAAGAGGCAGGGATATTCTACGCTTTCTCTGGCTTTCCTGGGTCCTTCTGTCGGTCTGCCTTCCATCTGTATTTTCTCATAGCCAGCTGGGTGAACAAGCCAGGTGAGCTTGTTCTATGTCAGAGTCTAGTCTGTCCCCTAAGGAGCAAGTAACCTATTGCACCATGCTGGGTGCTCTGGCCCCTCCCTCATCTAAACCCAAGAAATTGCCTGTGCCCCGGGGTCCTCTCCCTGTGTGTGTGAGAAAGTGTGTTCAAGTGCATACACGGGAGCTGTTGTGCATCATGTTCCTGACGAGGTGTGTGTGTGCCTTGAGGGCTGAGGTGGGGAGTGCCAGGAGTTCTCTGAACCCAGGCTGAACTTGAATCTGAAATCGGGTTGCAAGAACCAGTTTCCCACCTAGGTTTTTGAGGAAGGGAAGAGGGTATGGGGATCAGAAGCATCTACCAGCCTGGGTTAGCCTAGTTAGATGTCAGTTCTGCCCCAGTCTGGACTCCAGGCTGGGAGTGTGGAAGCCAGCTAAGTAGCCTGTATGCTACAGCTGGTGGGATTCAGTGTCACATCCCCTGCAGGAGTTCTTGGGATGGTCTCTGCTCTCTGCTCTCCTGTCTTGGTTTCCCCATCTGGGGGATTTGAACTCCCCCAAGGGCCCTTCTGGCTCTAAATTCTAGAATAAGGAGAGTGGAAGAGGATTGGAGCCATGTTTGTGGGGAGAACAAGACACACAAAGATCCTCGAGTTGTCCCTGATCCTCAATTTCCCCATCTTTTTATCATGAAAATCAGTGATCCCTAATCTGTTGGTAGCCGTGTGCCTGGCCCAGAGCAGCTTCCCAGGATGTTCCCAGATTGTCATGTGGCAACTGTAATTGTCAGTTACCTCAGTGATCAGAAGAAAGGCTGGGGCAGGAGCTCCCGCCACCACCAGGGGCTGCCGCTTACCCAACCACACTTACCTGTTGCTCCTCCACCCACAGGGACAGTGGACATAGACGAGTGCTCAGAGGGAACAGATGACTGCCACATCGACGCCATCTGCCAGAACACACCCAAGTCCTACAAATGCCTCTGCAAGCCAGGCTACAAGGGGGAAGGCAGGCAGTGTGAAGGTGAGTCTGCCCAGCCCTCCCAGCCAGACCCTATGCCTGCCAGGGACAAAGTAGGTGGCAGATGTCCACCCCCCATAATGCCAGCCAGGACTGAGCCCACAGCCCTGCTGCCATGGGCATGGACACCCAGGCTCCTCTCAGCTTCTCCTCCCTGGAATGCAGACTGCTTCCAGGGGGATGGGGGTTGCAGGTGGAAGTTGGAGACACAGGGTGCCTGATTCTCACCCGGTTTTAGACTTTTGTTTTTTTGAAAGAAATCAAGGGGAAGCATCTTATATATTGATTTAATATCTGTCCCTAACTAGATGTGGGGTGAGAAGAGCCTAGGGTCCCCACTCCTCCTAACTGCAAACCAAAACCACCTGCATGGCCTGGAGCTCCCTCAAGGGACCGAAGAGCCCTCATCCATAGCTGGGAACTGGCTCAGGTCTCCTGGCTCAGGCTGCCGGGCTTGGGCAGAGACTATGGATTATGCCGCTTGTCTGTCTGTCCAGCCTCTCCTCCCTGCCTGGGGTTGCTGGTTTGAATATCTGGCACTAGAAACCAGCTCCCTTGAGCCAGCAGCCTGAGCTGGGCACGGTGATGCACGCCTGGAATCCCAGCAGCTGGGGAGGCTAAGGCAGGAGGATGGCAAGTTCAAAGCCAGCACTGGCAACTTGGCAAGGCCCGAGAAACCTGGCAAGACCCTGTCTCAAAAATGAAAAGTAAATAAATGGTCTGGGGTTGTGGCTCAGAGGTCCAGCGCTTGCCTAGCACCACATAAAAAAATAAAATAAATAAAGGTATTGTGTCCACCTATAACTGAAATAAATAAATAAATAGACTTTTTAAAAAATAAATAAGTGAATAAAAAGGGCTGGGGATGAGGCTCAGTGATTAAGCGCCTCAGAGTTCAATCCCTAGGACCAAAAAAAAAAAAAAAGCCCAGCCTTGGTAGTGTCGGGAACCAGGGCTCTCTGGGGCAGACGGAACCTTTACCATCACCGTGAGGGTCTGTGGGGCCACCCTGACCATGGGTCCAGGGCAGAGCTTGGCCTGGCGGGCAGGTGCTGGAAGCAGCTCTTGCCACACCTGATGTGAACTCACTGACCCAAATCCTCCCTGTCTGCTGCCGTCGTACAGATGAGGAAAGAGGCATCTTTGACAATGTCCCCAAGTTTCACAGTGACATGGCAAGGACTGAAATCCAGGCCTTCTAATTCCCACTCAGCCAGTCTCTGGCGTCTCATTTTCTTCTCCCCGAACCCTGCCAGCTTGGCCTTTCAAAGTGTGAGGTTTCACGCTAGTGAAAATGACGGGTGCTACTCTTTCTGTGCCAGACTCTGCAGAGGCCAGTTTTAAAGGACGTGGCAATGCCACCTTCAGATGCTGAGGTTGTTTATCCATCTCATTTATTGAGCATCTGCTCAAGGCCGAGTGTTGGGCAGGCGCGGTCTTCCTGGATCAGGCCTGGTTTGGGCAGATCCCTGGCTGACTCGGGGCCCGGAAGCTGAAGAGGGGAAGCTGGTGCCTTCCCGCCAAACTGTGGACCGTGCCAGGCTGACAGCAGGGAACGCAGGTCACGGGCAAGAAGTGACAGGGTGGGCTGCCCAGCTGCTGCCAGGGCCTGGAGGTTAGCTCAGTGGTTCCAATGTGCAGCTTGGTGTGACCACTTTCTGACTCTCTGCTGGGCACCCCAGACCCAGTGCCCTGCAAAAGGAAGGCCATGGTTGGCACCCCCCACACCCATGGTCTCTTCCCACCTTACGCCACTGACGAGGCCTCTTCCTCTCCCAGCCTAGACCCTAAACTGCCGGCCCTCCCTGCTCTGAGGCCCACATTTCTTCCTCTGGCCTATTCCCCTGAAGCCTTTCGGAGTCCAGTTGAGCTCCCCACCCCACCCCCGGCCTGAGCTGGGGTCCGACTCCAGCTCCGGCTCTTGCTGACTCTGTGGGCCTCGTTCCTCCTGGGGAGGAGGGAGGAGGTCGGGTTGCCCCTCTGGTGTGAGGAGGAGGCTGTGCCTGTGCTGCTGGAGCTACAGTGCCTCTCCAGGGCTCCAGCCTCTGCCCTCCACTTCCCGAAACATTAAAGCCCCAACACTCACGCGCTGGGATCGTCCGTGTTTCCGAGTCCCTGTTTCTCTCCTCCTGCCGGAGCTCCTGTCGTCTTTTTTGTGTCCAGGATAAATCTAAAGGTGGATCATTCTTTAATTTACCTCCTCCAGGAAACCTTCCCTGATAACCTCCTCTCTCTGTTACACACATGTGTGCGTTCCTGTGCGTATGCACACACACTCACACACACACACACACACACACACACACACACACACACACACACACACAAACACACACACTCTCACACCATGCAGTAAGTACCCATTAGCTTCCCGGAGGCCCCTAGGCTTCCCGTCATTGCTGTTCTGACTCTGGGTTATAATGGTACGTCTTGCTCCCCAGGGAACCAAGCATGGGCTTGGTATTGGAGATGTCACACGGAAGCTGTCAGACTCAGCTCACGGTGAGCTCCTCAGCTACAGAGAGCCTGGCATGTCTGTCCTGTGCCTCCAGCTCCTGGGGCAGAGCCTGGCACAGCATGGGCATGCTGGATGTATTGGTCTGAGTTGGCTCTCGATGGCCCAGGCTGGAGCTCTTCCTGGACCAGTCGCCTGTGAGAGCAAGTGTTGGCTGGGAAGCACGGAGCACAGGGTGTCTGGGGGTCTCCTTCCTGCCATGTCGACTTGACCCTGTGTCATGCACAAGAGCTGGGACAGGCCTGGCCTCTGCATGGAGAGATGGCTGCAGCCACCTCTGAAGTGGACATTTAGGGCGTGGCTTGTCCTCCCCAAGCCTGTTTCTCCTTTAGTTTTGGGGGCCTAAAATACTCCCTGCCACAGCTGGTCCTGGAGACTGAGATACGGTATGGTATACTGGGACCCGCCTGCCTCGCAACCTGGCTCCCCATGGGCATCAGTATACAGTATGTGCTCAATATGCAGATGAAGATCTCACTACCACCACCACCATCCTCTGTTCCCACTACTTCTCAGAGAGGTCACAGGCTCTGCTGCAATTAGGAACAAGGAAGACCTTTGAAATCCTGCATGCAACAGAGGTGATGGTCATGGTCTGTCTGTTCCTGCCTGCAGGAGCTTGTCGGCTCGTGGTGTTGTACGGACTGAAGTTATTTATCAGTGAACATTCCTGTAGCAGGTTTAGGATAATACAGGGGGTGCACCCGTGCCTGTTGATCGGCCTCATCAGTGGTATATAGAATGACTGTTAGGAACAAAGAGCAGGGTGCCATTTGGTCACTTGCTCCCTAAACCCTCATGAGTGAACCCCCACATGCTAGTGTGGGTTCCAGAGTCCTGAGTGGACCCTATCCTACTTACATGAGGTATTCTCATTCCTGGGGACCACCCAGAGTTCTCAGTTGGTACTGATACATCCTGCTGGAGCCTTCCCCAAGGACCACCAGAACCCTCTCTGGCTTCCCCTGGAGGACTGTGCAGAGACTTCCAGGGCCTTGGAGACCACCTAGATGCGCATCTCCTCGCTTTACAGATGGGAAAATGGAGGCCAGTGAGGGTGGAGGTCTACTGGGGTTGGGACAAGAGCCCAGGTGTGGTGGGCCATTTCTCCACACTGTGTCTATATGTGATTATGACCATGTATCCCTTTTTGCTCCAAGAAGAGGAATGCACTATCCTTATTCAGATAAAACAGAGAAGGTAAAGCATGGACTCAGAGCCAGGCTGCATAGGTTCAAATCTGGGCTGGGTAGCCTGGGCAACTTACTTAAGCTCTATTTGTTTATTTGTAAAATGGACATGCTACTAGTTCCTGCTTCCTGAGGGTTAAATGAGCTAATGTATTAACAATACTTTAACATCACCTGGCACATAGGACATCCCATATAAGTACGAGCTGCTGTTACTGTGATCATGATATTGATGGTGGTGGTGATGATAAGGGTGATGTTTGCTGTTGATAGTGTGATGGTGGTGGTGATGATAAGGGTGATGTTTGCTGTTGATAGTGATGATTGTGGTGATATTGTTAATGATGAATGTGGTGGTGAAAGTGGTGGTGATGGTGGTGATAATTGTGATGGTGGTGATGGTGGTGGTGGTGGTGATGGGGATGGTGATAGGGTTGGAGGAGGTAATGGTGGAGGTGGTGATGATAGTGATGATGAAAATAGTGATGGTGATGTTGAAGGTGAAGGTGGTGGTGGAGGTGATGGTGAAGGTGGTGATGTTGATGGTGAAGGTGATGGTGATGGTGATGGTGAAGGTGGTGGTTATGGTGACCATGATGTTGACAGTGATGTTGATGAGGGTGTCTTTGATATTGGTCATCCTTATAGTTTATGTTGATGAGTGTAAGTCAATGATCATAAATGTTGTGGTTAAAATCTAAACAGAGATAAAGGTTTTGTCTTTTTCCAACAATCTCCAGGACCTAAAATGGCTGGGAAAAGAGGCTTGTTGGTTCCTTGACTGTTCATATAAATCCATGCATACATCCAACTCCCCATAGCCATGTGTGGACCTGCGGCATCTGCAGATGACCATCTACCAGGAAGATGCAAGTTAAAACACACAGACAGGCTTTCCTACGTGCACCTGAACCTACTTCAGGAGTAACGAACATGCTTCCTCCTTCCTTTACTTCCCTCCACGTGGTCATTTCCAGGTTTTGGAAACCCATTTTCCCTCCCTGGGCTGCAGCATCTGCAGGCCCTGAGCTGGAGGGGGGCCTGCAGAGGTTGGAGTCTTGGGGGGATGAGCCCCCATTCTACACATCCCATAGCTTTGCTGTTTATTGTGATGAACCCAGAGGATGGATTCTCAGTGAAGCGTGCCCTGGGAATGTGGCTTCCACGATCTCCCTGGTTCTTCATGGGAGACAGAGCCAGGTGGTGGGAAGCCCTGCATGGGCTGTGTGACCTCTTCTGTCCTTGACAGTGTTACCGTGGGACTTCTGCTGGTTGTGAAACACTTGTCAGAAAACTCA